AACCACGTATTTTAAACTTTAAAAAAAATTTTTTTTATTTTAGCAAAAATGAAATTTAATTAAATTTAATTTTTGAAATTAATTTAATATATTAAAAAATTACTTTGCAAAAATTTTTTGCTATATTAATAATATATTTGAAATAGTTATAATAATTTTAGTTCAAAAAAAATTTTTTTTTTAATCAAATGAAATTTATTTAAGTAAATTTAAGTTTTAAATTAATTTAATGTATAAAAAAAATTGCTTTGCGTAAAAACTTCTTACTATATTAATATTTTGAAATAGTTGTAATAATTTTAGTTTAAAATTTTTTCTTTGTAAAATGAAATTTAATTAAAATTTAATTTTTAAGCTGAATTTATTGCATAAAAAATTATTTTTGTATTAAATTTCTTATTATATTAATAATATATTTGAAATAGTTATACTAAATGAATAATAAGAAATTAATTATTTATAATATAGTGTAAAGAAATTTCAAAAACATACATCCAAGCCTTTTTTGTTGATTTGATCGAATACGTAGTAATTCATATTCACGTTTACGTCGACATTGCTCAGATATTGGTGATAATGATAAATTATCAGATGATAATTTGGAATCTTTTAAACTAAAATTTTTACAAATTTAAAATTTCATATCATTCAATAAAAAAAGTCAAAATTTTACAAACTTTGAAAATAAATTAAAAAATTGGAAAATAAAATTAAAAAAAAATAGAGTAAATATTATTTACCTAGCAATATTTTTAATAAGTTTTGATTTTTCCATTTCGATATGTTCAATCCAATTATGTTCAGAGGATAATTTTTCATCACAAAGCAAACAAATTGGATTACCATCTTCATCAGTTTGTAATTCTAAATATTACATTGATAATAATGATAACAATAATAATCTCTTTATCATTTATCGAATAACTACCAAATGATTATTGTAATCTAATGGTAATGATAACAATTATCATATCTATTACACAACTATTAAAACTCTAGCATTTATTACATAACCTATTATTGATTAATCAGTAATTATCAGTATCAATAATTAGCATTATATCATATCTATTATAATTATCCGAACCCTAGGTTTTATTTCATAACCTATTATTGATTAATCAATAATTATCAGTATCAATAAATAGCATTATATCATATCTATTATAACTATCAGAACTTTAGCCTTTATTGCGTAACCTATTATTGATCAATAAATAGTATTAATCAATAATTATCATATCAAATAGTAATCAAAATGTTTGGTAAATTTTAAATGCTAAAATTAAAGGAAATCGTAATGAGTAATTCAAATTATTTTGATGATAACAGATGATTAATAATTGTCATATATTACTTTTCCATCATTACTTTTCCTTACTTTTACTTATGATCATTACTTTTCATTACTTTTCCATCATTTAGTACTAAGCAATAATCTTAAGAACTTGAATTGATAACTATTTCATAGCTGATAACAAGTAGTATTAGTCAATAATTATCATAATTATAGCTAAGTATCAAGTTTTTATCAAGAATTTGATTGATAACTGTTTCATAGCTGATAATAAATAGTGTTAATCAATAATTATCATAATTATGACTAAGTATCAAATTTTTATCAAGAATTTTGATTGATAACTGTTTCATAGCTGATAATAAATAGTGTTAATCAATAATTATCATAATTATGACTAAGTATCAAATTTTTATCAAGAATTTTGATTGATAACTGTTTCATAGCTGATAATAAATAGTGTTAATCAATAATTATCAT